TATAAGTAAATCTAGGAAGAATTTGGGATGTGCGATTAATCGAAACCTGATTAATTAATTAATAAAAGAATAATGATTTTTGATTAAGCAAAGTGATTAATTTCTCGACTAATTACATTTTAATTAATTTTTTATTTTCAGAAAACTGATTAATCATAACCTGATTAGTTAGAAACCTGAAAAATTCCTGCTATACTTATTTTTCTTTGTTCTGCAAAGTATCCTTTAAATGTGCCGCAGAAAGTCTCGGGACCATGCAATCGCATTTGGGCTCCACGTTTTGCCAGACAGCCAGCCCTTTCGTCAGCTTCAAACCTTCAATGCCCAGGGGTCCACCACAGCTTCACTCTATTATGAGATCCTAGGCTGTTCAACTGTACACAAGCCTTGATGTCGTTCTAAATGGGTCCGCTTGTCCTTCTACGATGACATTTTCGAATACAGATTTCGATTGCGAAGACTTCCGCTTAGAATATCGATACTTGAGTGGAAGATCGACCTATCTCGGCAGCCAGTTCGAAAACTCCCTATCGCAGAAAACTTTTCAAAAATGCCCTACTTAAGAATTTGATTGAAGAACGCCCCATTTCAGAATTTGATTTAAAAACGTCATATCTCAGATTTTGGTTGAAGAACGCCCTATCTCAGGTGCTGATTCAAAAACGGTGTCATAAAATACCATCGGCGCGCAAATTAGCAAAATGTTGAAGAGCAACGCTTTGGTGCGGATTGTGGCTAGACGCTCGTCCACCGGGGTGAGCATTATTGGGCGACGAATTTTTTGGATGGCGGAAATTACAGGTGCGTGCCCCCAAAGCGTAGTCCTTTAAACGTTTGCCGTGGTCGTCACCAAAATGGGGGCCTCCTCCTAGGCTTTGTTTTTAGTCTTCATTGAAAGGGGTTTAGCGAGCCGCTTGCTCCAAGACAGACGCCCGGTGAACAGTGGCCAAATTGGTCTAAAGATATGTAAATTAATTATTTATTGAGTCACCAATTGTCTCTTGGTTATAGCACACAAATCTTTGATATCGAAGAGAGTTTGCATATAATAAATTTTTGATTTTTACCATTCATAGGCCTATCAACTTTGCAGCACAAGAACACCGCAGTGATTGGTTTTTGAAGGTTAGTTAACATTTTCCACTAGAAACTCGCAATTTATAAAGTAAAAATGACAATCTTTTCAACACCTAGGTCAATCCACGCCACACCGTACCTGTGCTAGTCGATCAAGGCGTTTCGCTGTGCGACAGTCATGCCATCATCACATATATGGTCAATCAATATGGCCAGAGTCAACATGAGCATTTATATCCTAAAGATTTTCTTCAACGTGCCATAATTGACGAGCGACTCTACTATGAAAATGGTATACTTTTTCAAGTCATAAAAGATTTTGTGGTAAGATTAAAGTGAAGGGAATTGCACAACATTGAATTCGAACGAAATTTTACTGTGTTACAGGCGCGCATAATGTATGGTGGCGAAATTTCTTATCATCGTAAAAGTATTGAGCTATCGCATAATGCCTACACTTTTCTTGAGGAATTTCTAGCGAGAAACATCTACGTCACAGGCGAACATTTGACCCTAGCCGATATTTCTATAAATACTACATTAATTACTTTGCACAAATTAGTGACGGTGGAAGAGAGACGGTAGGTAGTTTATATACATTCATCACCGACCTACATACCTTCATACGTATCTCAAATAATTACTTTGATCTGATATAATCTGCAGGTATCCGAAAATTTGCGCTTGGATGCAGCGGTTGCGAGAGGAATTACCCGAATATGAAGAGCTCAATGAAAAAGGCGCACAACAACTTTATTTACGCTTCCAAAACTCTTTGGAGGATAATATGACGAAACATGCGTAACGAAGCGCTCGAGTCAGGGGCATTAGTATGTTACTGAGCTCATTTTTAGTTTGTTTTTTTTAATAGTACCTCGTAATGGCAACTGGAGTAGGTGAAAATACATGTGTTCGTAATGTCCGTTTTTATTTCCTTCCTATTGGTCTCCCAACCTATAGCTGCCATGAAACGGCGAACAAATTTCACAATCCGCATCAAATCTTAATAACTTTACTTGAGCTTAATAACTTTACAGAGCGATGAGATCATAGGACAATTCCAGCTAATGCAAACTAAGTACCTAATATATGAAAGAAAACGGCTCGGAAGACTGTTGTAGAGGTCTTTTAAGTAATTCAAGGTCCCCTCGCTCCTTTTCAAGGACAGATTGCCCATCATCAAACGATTTGTAAATTTGTTCCCCCATTAAATTTAGGTAAGGTAATGTTTTTCTTGTTATTTTCGTTTTTGCCGCTCTTCTTATACAAATCGGTTTTACATAATCTGTTGCCACATTTAATAAAAAGGTCTGAGAATATTTTATAATTTTCGGTGCCCGAAATTTCAGCTTAATTTTTCCATAATGCGGATTCGCATCCTAGACTCCCATAGTGAATTGTGAAAATTATTATTAAAACACCACCTTTTTTCTATAATTTCATTTTCATCAGTTAATCTTTCATTCCCATGTTACCTTTCATTTTGGCAATATCTTGTATTTCTTTTTTTACTACGCTGCTTTTAATTTTCTGCCCGAGAATTCAATTTCTTTCGGCAGTTCGCTAGGTGATATTTGGAATTACTTTTCAACTTTTCAAACCCTTTAGTTGTTAGCAATTTGATTAACATCCCTCAAAGCACAACCCAGCCAAAATATATGTACATACGTAGATTTTCCAGCCTAAGACCTTCTGGCAAAAACTTATACAAAACGTCTTTTTCTATTTCATCATTTATCTTCGGAATGAAATTAAAACGAAACCGCTCCGATGCCTGTTAGAGCAAGCGTAAGATCAAATCTAAAAGGAAAAATATGTGCTTGTTCAAAAGATTCAAAACATCCTTTTTCATGCAAAAATGCTCCTAGATGCTCTAATAGCAATTCTGTATCGAAATTATGATTTGAAAAAATGTTGCTTACGTCATGTTTGCGGTTAAGGCTCGATATATTTAATATGTTTCAAATATTCATATTAGTGCTTCCAGCGAATTATATTCCACTCTTGAGTTTTTGTGCTTTATCTTTTGCAAAAAAAAAATCCTATGTTGAATCACAATTTCATTGCTTACCTTTTTATCAGTTAGTAAGACTTTCGTCTTTTTAATCTGTCGGCATTTCGAAGCAAGAAAATTTGTAAATATGTAGATTTTAATGTCAGACAGTATTTCATTGCATAAAATACGCTTTTAGTTACATAATCTTCGTCGCTAAAAACGATTTGATTCAAAATCAGCAAGACCTGTTTTCATAATTTTTTAGAAGCAAAAAAAAACCAATTAATGAACTTCCTGTAGTGCCAGCCAAGCATTCTGATTTTGAGGATGCAAACGTATAGCATGCTGTATCAATTTTAGGGAGCGCGTTTTATCTACGGGTCTTAATGCGCGACTCGCAATCAGTAACAATTGGGAGTCCTCAATGCAGTCGCTCCTAAAATACATAAAAATTATGATATAAAAAAAAAATTATTTGGCAATGAAGGTACTTACTTTTGTGCTTTATTACGATGCAATAAAGTAATTGAGCTCAGAGCAATTTGGCTTGTAGCCAAATGATATTGTGAGGCATGGCTGAAATTATCCAACAGAAAATTTGCCAAAACTTTTCGCAATTCAGCACAGCTTGGGAAAACGTGCAGACGTGACAGTAAATATGTGAGGCCTTTGCGAGTCTGTTTCTAAATATAGTAAAATAAATGAGATTGAAAACATGGTAAAAATGCAAAATTTTAGTAAAGATTTAGCGTTTTAAGAACCCTACACTTTCAAATTATCTACGTATTCGTTTGAATCCTGCACTGAGCCTTGGTAGCAGTGATTTTCTTTAGGGTTTTAGAATACTATCCGATTTTAAATTAGCCTCATTTACAATATTCAACTTTCTATAAATTGTACTCAAATACATCTTGAACAACTAGATTTTTATTTTTTTTTGTATACTTACAATAGCTACATAGTATTGTGCCGTCAAATATGAAATATGCGCAGAATAAGCTTCGCTATTTTCGTACTTCTTCAACTCCGCCAGAATAGTTGTTGTTAGTTGATTATCTTGATGCAGAATACCCAGTGCACAGGCAGAATAGAGAGCCTGTATGGGAGAGTTCTTAAGCAAGATGCTTAAAAAGTTAAACGGTATAAAAAATTTGTTGCCAGGAAAACCAGTTGTAAAAAATTACTAACAAAAAATTAGCACCCACCATTGATATAGAATCGTTTTGGTATCTGCTTCGCCTTGCGACGAATACACCATCGCGGCCATTGCTACCAATATCATGCCAGCCTTTTCCTCGTTATTATCTGCCATACTCTTCAATACAGAGTTATATACTGAATATGCCTCCTGATGTTGGCCAGCGCGCACAAAAGCCAGAGCCAATCCAATAATGGCATTGAGTGATGAATGTACTACTCGATTGAAAATCTGTATAGCATCATTGGGCTGATTTAACTTCAAGTAGAGATAACCTAAGCTCGTGAGTAATTTATCACGCTCAGCACTAGGTGTTGTGCACTTCACAGCTTGAAGGTATGCTCTCACTGCAGGACGATAATGTCGCTGCCGTAAACTTAAGAATCCTTGGAAGGAAAGTGCGGCAGAAGTTGCATCTTTTTCTTCGTTTATAACGTGCCTGCGTTAGCATTTATTATAATTAAAATTGAAAAACAATCAAAAATTAATACCACTCTAATATTCACCATTACCAATTAATTGCATCCAACGCCACCACGTCAGCATACATGCTATCGATAGCATGTCGATAATGTGGTTTTTTGCACTTTTCCGCATCCGTTAACACCATGCAAACCCAGTGCGCATATCCCAGTGAGGACTCGGGGTGATATTCAAACTGCTGGCAGTGTCTGAAAAGATCTAAAGCTTCCTCCTCTTCGCCAATACTTTCGGCGATCATAGCTTGTCCAATCCACGCATTTCCATATATAGGACTGGACTGCTGAGCACGCTGAAATGCCTGATTAGCAAGCTTTATTTCGTTCAGCTTTAAGTAGAGCACACCCAGATTTGTCCAAGTTGTATAAGATTTACGTTCAAGCGTCAGTGCCTGAATGAAACAATGCTGTGCTAAGGGCAATTGGTTGATTTCTAAAAATTTAAGGTAAGTTTAAACATATTATTTTTCTCTGGGTGTAATGTTTACCCTTATGCAAATTTATTACTCCAAGCAAATTCCAATTTTGCCAACGGTCGCTTTGCTCATTTACAGCCAATTTGGAGGCTTTTATAGCCAATGCCAAATGAGAAGTTGCTTCATCGGGAATATAGATCGCGGAATAGTAACAACACAATGCGAATTCATACCAAATAAATGTGTTTGCTTTTAACTTAATGGCGCAGGTGTAAAATCTGTTAAAACAATATATGTACATATTAATACCAATATTTGCAAGCTGCACAAATTAAGGCGCACAGTTTTACACACCTTGCAGCTAATGTGAAAAGGTCCTTCCTTTGCAAAATCGCTGTTTCATCTTCCAACTTTGCCAGTTTCCCTGATACTTCCAGGTATGCCAATGAGTTCGGCATGAGTGCTGTTTGTACAAACACATTGGCGGTTAGGCGCCACAACCAAAACATACTTTGACCGTTCAAAGTCAAGAATGCGCTAAAAGAATAAAGGTTTATTGGTAAATTAGATTAATTGAATTTTAAATGAATACCTTTGCAAATGATTAACAGCCAACTGCAAATGGTCCTTACAACGTCCATATAGATGCTCTAACTTTAAATTGTTCGCCAGACCAATATGGGCCTCAGCAGCGCCCTTTAAACCAGGTAAATAATCGGGATGGCCGCGTAGCAAGTCATCGAATTCCGCTATAGCTTCGGTATACATTCGCACAGTCTGTGTGAAATTAAGGAAAACTATCGCACCCTTCATGAAATTAAAATATTTGTATCGCTTTTACTTACAGATTTAATCAATGCAATTTGTAGTTTAGCGTAAATATTACTTGGATTCATTTCGAGTATTTTTTGGAAAACTCGTATAGCAGAGTTATAAGAACCTCGCTCTGCATAAGCGTCACCCAGAGATTCCCAATAATTCATGCAACTGCTATCGAGCTTAATAGCTGTGCGGAACGACTGTATGGCCTGGTAAAGTGATATATATTTTATTTAGCTATTAAAAAGATGCCGAGTAATGCGATAAGTACTAACATCATCCCACTTATTAACATGAAAATAATGCAAACCGAGCTTGTACTGTATATGTTTAGAATCTTCACACTTCATATGTTTGAGTGTATTTAGCAGCAATGCAACGTTCAAATCCTGATGGGAGAAAATTTATTTTAAGTACAAAAAATAAACAAGCTTAGACAAAAATATACCTCTTCACCTAGTTGCTGATAAATAGCGCTTAAATTATTCACTGCGCTCTCGCATATGGGGTTTAAATTTACACATTTTTCAAAACATTTTCGTGAGCGCACTATATCTTTTGTGCCATAGTATATTTTACCAAGGTAATGGAAGCATTCTGCGTAATATGGTCGTAAACGAGTTGCCTTAAGCATACAATTCAAAGCGCCAGCATAGTTTGCCAATTGTAAATGTAATTTTGAGAGTAAGAAAAGTGTATCAAATGATTCAGAATCGGTGGAGTTTGTCAAAGCATCGATTCCAGCAAGAGGCGCCCTAAAAATAGTGTCTTCGTTAGTAGATAAACGTAAACAAAAAACTGATTCGTTACATAAGAAATTCGGCTTGTTGCACTGTATTTAAATGCAGTGTCTTTAGTTTGTCCATTTCGCCTATTTTGAAGTAACATCTGGCAAATAATTTTTTTTTTAAGTAGAACCACACATTTTCTAATTATTAAAATTACCTTGCTAAAGTGGCAATAACATCTACGTTTTCATCGAATTGATGCAGCAGGTCTACCACCTTGCGCAGCAGCACCTCATCATTGCTTACATGCGACAAGCAGACGGCGTATTCTATAGTATTTTCTTTACCTGTTTCACACCATATTGGCAATGCCAAACTCCAAGCGCCAATCACCATTTCCACCCGCGCTAATAATTCCAAAGCAACAGTATATTTTGGTTGTAAGCCCCTCACACGATAAAGTAGATCTCGCGCCGTTACAAATTGTTGCTGTTCCCATAACTTAATAGCTCTAATCAACAGTCCTAAACTGGCATTGGAATTTAGTTGCAACAATATATCCACGTAGTGCTCTATGGGTTTAGAGAATTCGCTTAGGCATGTTATTGCTACATTCCGGTGTTCGCAGTAAATTTTGCAAACCCATTCGTAGGCATATATATCATCATGATACATTTCAGTTACTTCACACGCATATTTAATGCAGTTGGCGTAGTCTTCTTGTTTGTATAGAAGTTTCAAGTAACGTTTATAAGCACTTAGATGCTGTTCTAATTTAGGGTCTGCAATCAGCTCCTCCAAAGCGCGCTTATACTAAAAATGTGGGAACTCATGCTTACTACATTAATATGTGCAAATGTTATTTAGAACTTACGGTTGCTTCATCCTCTTCAACAACCTCAAAGTCAAATAACAGCCAAAGTTGCGCTAAATATTTTGCCACGAGTTTAAGACGGTCTTCATTTTGATCATTTCTTTTTAATTCTCTTTTGAAAATACTGAAGCATTCCTCTGCAACGCTCCTGTTACTGATTCCTGTTGTATAGAGCTTTTCAAAATAAAAATTATACTTTTCGCTGAAAAAGGGAGTATTTAGATTTAAAAATTTAATTATTTAGTATATTGAACTTACGGCACTAAATCTAACAATTGCTCATAAATTTTTGGCAACTCACTCAACGGTGCGCAGTTGGCCAACCCCTGCAGCGCAACAGTTGGCGCAGCCGGTGAAAACTCGACTGCCTTGCGTAAATATTTCGCCGCCTAAAATCGAACAGCAATGGTGATAGCAATGATTTTGTTTGTTAGTAATTACCCTCACAAACCTGATCTTTGCTGCTACTCTGATACGCCGCGCCTAGTAGCAAATAAACCATATAATTCTTGGGTTCATCTTGGAGCAAAGCCTAGAATGGAATGATACCAAGTGGAAATTCGGATTGGTGTTTGCCTATCGTTTAATAACATACTTGGCATTTTTCTATAGCATCGCTGAATTTTTCATACTTAATTGCTTCACGCACTTCTTTAAGTACTGCTTTAGATTCTTTGCTTGACATTTTGGACATTAAACAAATTATAAACAAATCGAACGAAAAATAACAAAAATTTCCATCTAGAGATGAAACAGTAGAAGTAAATACGAATTACTAACCGATAGTTTTCTTTCGATATCGAGTAACTCTGATATCGATTGTTTTTACCATTTTCCCACATCATCCTGCATTACTGTGTTCGCTCCCCCAATTACGATAGCGAATTACCGCATTCTCACGCGCAGATTATAAATTCGATTTGACAGTTCTCTGTCTCTGTGTTTTGCAAAATGTAGGATCTTCCTAAAAATTTATAAATTTTTGTAGTAAATTAGGGATATACACATTTATAAACTTCACTTTTCGTATTCAGAAAAAATGCAAGTTTTGAATCGTGAGCTAGTTTCGATAAATTACCGATAAAAATTAAAGATGACACCGATTTGTTCGTAGTTCGCATGGTAATTGAATCTGAAGATGGTATCGACAAAGCAGATACAAAAATTACAATAACAAATTATACGCACAATTACCGCGAGAATCACCACGAATGTACAACAAACCCATCACTTTTACATTTAGAAGCACCGATGTGAAAACATCACTATTCTGGCAACACCTCCTTGTATTAATTCGCCTTGGCTCTAGGAATGTTCCATATTTAAGAAAGTATCGATATCATGAATCGATTTAATTCATTGCATGGAAAATCGATATGGCGATATAACGGGCTGAACAATATCGATATCAGAAAAATCGATGTTGAAAGTCCTACTCCCAATTGAATAGAATATTAAATTGTGTTATTTCCAATTCGTATATTTACTGAGTATTAAAACGGCATGCCGGTCACCTCAAGCGGTTTGTCAAACTTAAGAGCTAAATAAATCACACAAGCTGCTACTTAAGTATTTTCCTATACACTTTTTTGTGGATGAAAAATAAATTTTAACTGAAGTATCGATATTGCGGGTAAATTTTCGATGTCTTAGATATATCGACCTTGGATATCGATCAAAAAAATCCATTATCGTGCCATGAAATATCGATATTCAAGATAATCGATACGATATCGAACATTCCTACTTGGCTCTCCGAATATCTGTCAATAAAATCAACAAAAACCGCTTTAACTGCTTTTACACAGTTCAAGTATTGAATTCAATTCTGCTCGCTTGATTATGGAAGGGGGAGAGAAGAAAAAGGACGAGCGACCGAACGATATGTATTTTTGGTTCATGGATTACTCCTTGGTATCATTTCTATATCCACAGGATTGCAAAAATCAGCTGTTTCAGCAGGGCTGCCACATCATGTGGTAGAAAGAGTTCAAAATAGAGGATGCGATGTTTCTCGAACAATAAAAATAAAAAAATTAAACTTTATCCACAAAATTATATAAATGTGTGTTATAATGCATTCTATATCGAAAATTGCAGACAAAATGCCATTCAACTGTAAATTAATAAATGCTTCTCTTTTCAGTGGCAACATTGTAAGAATAATGTAAAGAGGAACAAAAGATGCAACGCGACTGGGGCAAAAGAGAACGCAGTTGAGCGAAAAATATCTAGGAGTGTTTTTTCTATTTTTCGCTTTAATGGCATTTTTCGACTCCATTCCAATTGTTTAATTTTTAGCAAAACAATAGTTAACTGTAAGTTAATATATATTAAATTAAAATGTTGAAAATAAATATTCGAGTTATAATACGACATGTAAAGTAGAAGAAAAAACATTCATTTTCCAATTGGTATTTTTAATGAGACTTGTAGTGCAACGTCAAGGAACGAAGAACAATAGCGTAGTCGAAGTCAAAAAAAATAAAAGATCAAAGAACTGCAAATTTTCATGAACATTCTTCGAATACCCTTGCATATAAAAATTTCTTGATTACCTAACCTGTAGGACTAGTAGGTATTTTACACGAAATCTTTTGAATATTACTAAAGTCCCAAAGTCCCATCAACGACTGAAACACGCCCACTTCTGTGTGTGTGTGTGTGGACGTGGTGACCGCTGTGTTGGCGGTGTTTGCAATGGAAAACGAATCCGTAAAGTCGGAACACAGCGGACGATCGAGACGTTCACGCAATCACAACAACAATAATAGTTCTGCCACTGGTGGTGGTGGTCTGGGCAATAGCAGCAGCGGAGGCACTGTAAATAACGGATATCATCGTGATCGCACACGGCATTCCCACCGTAGTGGACATACCAAATCCAGTGGTAAACACCAACGCGCCGATATGGCTCCATTTCAGACAAGCGTCAACATGACAGGTACTTACCTGGAGGCATCGCTTTCAAGGCAACGATTTAATGAATTCTTATTTTTAAGGTGAAGAAAATCGCGATGGACAAGAAATAATCGAGGTGCAAATATTGCCGCAAGACGAAAATTGGGGTGAAAACACGACTGCAGTTACTGGTAACACATCGGAACAAAGCATCTCAATGGAAGACATAAATAATGCTTGGCATCGTGAGAATGACACAAGTTTTGGATTTGCTTGTCGCCGACGTTTGGAGTCTGCGTTCTCACTTTTACTTGGATTTGTATCATTCTTCTCGCCAGTCGCAATGGTGGTAATGCCGCGCATGGGTTTCTTTCCCTCTGCCTTCGATCATGCTGAACTTACCCAAACTGTTCGCACACAATTACTAGCATGTAGTAGTGAATGTAAGGGACTACTTGTGTCTCTAACAGCCAGACTAATTTTGTTGGCTATAGGACTGTGGGCGCTCTTTATGCGTCGATCGGCGGCAACAATGCCGAGAATTTTTCTGTATCGTGCCGTTGTGCTACTGCTTGTTACCATTTGCACATTTGCTTATTGGCTCTTCTATATGGTGCAGGTGCGTACATTCAATGAGATTTTCCTTAACTGTATATGTATTAAAAACTATATTAATTTCCAGGTTACTAATGGTGCCAAAGTTGTGGTGGAAACTGGGGGTGATGCAGTCAATTACAAATCACTTGTCGCCTATGCAACAAATTTGGTCGACACATTGCTCTTTATACACTATATCGCCGTAGTCCTACTCGAGCTACGTCATCAGCAGCCAATGTACTATGTAAAAATTATTCGTTCTCCAGATGGGGTATCGCGCTCTTACATGCTGGGGCAATTGAGTATACAACGCGCAGCTGTCTGGGTGCTTCAACGTTACTACGTGGATTTTCCGATTTTTAATCCGTATTTAGAACGCATACCGATTTCAAAGTCGCAACGAAACAAAATTTCAACTAGTTTCAAATACTACGAAGTTGATGGTGTTAACAATGCGCAACAGCAAAGTCAAAGTCGTGCTGTATTAGCAGCAAATGCGCGACGACGTGACTCATCGCACAATGAGCGCTTCTATGAGGAACACGAATATGAGCGCCGAGTGAAAAAGCGACGTGCACGTCTCATCACTGCTGCTGAGGAAGCATTTACCCACATCAAACGCATACACAATGAACCTGCACCTGCAGTGCCACTCGATCCACAAGAAGCAGCGCAAGCGGTATTTCCATCTATGGCGCGTGCTTTGCAAAAATATTTACGGGTTACACGACAACAACCACGACACACATTCGAAAGCATACTCAAACACTTGGCGCACTGCCTGAAGCATGACCTATCGCCGCGTGCTTTTCTGGAACCATATCTAACAGAAGCGCCAGTACTTCAAAGCGAAAAGGAGCGTCGTTGGGTGCAGTCATGGTCATTAATTTGCGATGAGCTTGTATCGCGGCCTGTCTCAAACGAATGTACGTTCCAACTGATACAAAACGATGTCTCACTTTTAGTCTCCATACATAAGCTACCACATTTCAATATAGCCGAAGAGGTTGTCGACCCCAAAAGTAATAAATTTGTGCTGAAATTGAATTCAGAAACATCTGTATGACAACAAACGACAGCCACCAACATGACACCAACACCAACTCACAGCAATGTAACGCAATCCTCATATCTGCACGTGTTTGTATAGGCGCCACTATCAACCATTTCGGTCTATATATACTATGCATATACTCGCATATACTTTGTCGCAAATTTTCGGCGTTTGATGCTCATGACAATTCTCGAAATACTCATAAATCCCAGTGTATCCTAATTATTGACACGCACACATATCAAATAAGTAATATCAATGCTGTACTATGTATAATCCTAACTTAAATATTTCTGAAGTATTAGCAGTGACAGCCAAAAGAAAGCAATGCGAATCTACATACATTTATGGTTTAAAGTATTACATATAATAATTGTTTTAAGTATGAAGGTTTTAAAATAAACTTTTATAAAGCAAAATTGATAGCAGTTCATAGAATAGAGCAGTTCCAGTGCATAAAATTTGGTAATATACGAGTCCTTTTTTTATTTTATGCTTTACAATAGAGTTATCTAAAAAGATAAATATGTACTCGCGTTTTTTTTAATACTGCAATGCTTTATTTTGGAGTGGATTTCAGCATACATTGACCACGAAATCAAGAGTGCTGAGATCACCTAGAATGGGGATCGATCTTTGTTTTAAGTTCTTGTTCACAATTAATAGAAGCTCAAGAATTCTCATTTGACTTGATAATCTTAAGAAATCGCAAAACACAAGAGAAAGCCACTAATCGTATCGAGTTAAATTTTTATTCTTAAGATATAAATAATAAGTTCTTACTACTATCCAATAATAGGGATATTTTTCTACAAGGCATGTTCGCTTAATGTACTTACATACCATACAAAGTTCTCTACATTTCCTACTACATAATCAAACACAATTTACAGCAATTTTTGCATTTATATAAATAACTGTAAACTTAAATTTCCTCGACCAACTCGAAATAAACTAAAACCTAAATTTTAACTCGGTATAAAAAAAGAGTTACTAACAGGAAATACTGACAAATAAACCACGAAGTTGGAGACTGCCCAACTGCCAGTTTTAAGAGTTTTTATACAATAAATGCAGCTACATACTCATTTACTATGAAAAAAAAAACAGAACGAAGCATTTTTATACATAATGTATTCAATAAATTAAAAATTTGCATTAGCAAATATATAATAAATTTAAAAGCTAAGGTAAAAGAGGAAAATTTTAATAAAAGCTAAGTATTCAAATTTTAAATTAAGATTTTTATAAGGTTTAATAATAGTACTTATGTACATATACGTGTATGTATGTGTATGCCCTTAAAAATTAATGTATTTCCATTATATTGTAAGGTAAATTTACTAAGTACATAAAATCGTTGTTTTGATACGCATACGAACTTTAACGTACTGGAAATTATGAATAAGTTATCAAATATTTATAGTGCGAATTTTCCTACTTATTTTCTAGCTAATGACTTTATTTTTTAGTTGTAAAAGCTATTTAAAAAATGCGTTTTTGAAAAAAAAAAATACAACAAATGCATGCATATATTTATTTATTAGTATTTATTACATATCCAGCTAAGAAAAGTACTCATCAGGCACATGCTCTTATGATATTATGGCTGATTTCTGACAACTGCTTACATACCCTCATTCACAAATATGCGCCTATATTATCGGTCTGTGCGCTGCGCGAAAGACCTTTTATAATTTTTTATACGATAGTATGTATGTATATACATACTATGTTCTTTTATTTATTTTCTGGTAATAATACTTTTGTTGCGTTACAATGGCCTGTCAATCGCTACTTTTATACCAATAAAAATTAACGAAAAAATATTCTGATATTTTGTTTATTTATATAACTGGAGACGTTTATCAACATTAGGATGGCTCGAATTCATCGATTGTTGTTGTTGTAGCCTCATTACCAAAGCCCGCCTATTTCGGTTTGCCCATCAATCATTGTCGTCGATCTCAACTAACGATAGCCCAAGAAGCAGGCAATTTCAACCGGATTGCACTTAAGGGAGAGGGGTGTTAGTTGAGTGGGGTTGAAGTTGTGGTTGGTGTCGTGCGGGGAGTCTCCGGACGGACTTTCATTTGGGTCGAGTCTGGACAGGTAGCTGTTGAGACGACTAATACAGTAATTTTTACCAACAAACTTTCGAAGGAATATACGGCGTTGAAAAATATCGATAAATATCCCTTTTTTCATATAAGAACTTATAATTTTTGCTTCTGCTAAAATTTCATGTTTCGTAAAAAAGGCGGACGATAGATTCCAAGGTGTATTAAACAAGGTTGTGTTGGGGCGACAGCTGAGTTTTTCGCCGCGGAGGCCATTACGTCAAAATGATGTGTTTGTTGTAATTCATACCAATGACAGTATGGACATCAGCGTATAATTTGTTAGTGTAATTTTTTACTTATATACGGCCAACACCACCTTGTTAAATACGCCTTGATAGATTCTTTTTCATAAAAGTTTTGTGACATTTTTAACTGGCTTCAAAAAAAGGAGAGAGGCTATCAATTCATCGGGTTTTTTTATGTTTGTATGTTACCGGATATCTTTGCACCACATGAGCGGCCCAATACTAATTTGATTTAGTTCGGTTGTGTTTTTTGTTTAAAGATTAATTGTTTTCAAATAAAACACATTAGTATTTTTTAAACGCTTATATGTACGTACATATTTTCCCCAGCAACGCTAAATGTTAGAATGGCCTAGTTCATTTTCGCTATAATATCCTTTTTTTCAGCTTTTTCGAATTTTTATATTAAACTCGCTGTTACCCGAATAATTAAAGAAGAAATTGAGCAATCCAGGTCCAATTAAGTGGTGAATGTTGTACTCCTAAAATAAAACAATTCTCGCTTTATTTTATTGCTGTCTTGCAATTTTTTTTAATAAAAAAGGAAACTTTGGTAATTAAAAATACATTCATACATATTATGTAATTGCTATATGTACATATATGTTTCTATGGTCCTTTGTCTATGACAAAAAACAAAAGCAAAATCCGCAAAGCTACGTCGTATAAAAACGCATATATAAATTAAATTTTAAGCAACACTGATAAATATTAGAAAAATATAAAATTATATGACCTCTTCAAAGAGATTCCGGCTAATCGAATAGCACATATCGTTACCTTAAAAAAACGTAGCTAACTAAAATTTTGTATTGCATAAAACGATGAAATGCATCAGAGTCAATCAAAAAGTGAATTTTAAAATTTTCTTAGTTACGGCCTTTTGTATTTCAACGACTACGTGAGATAGGGTCTTTCTATATTAAGGTAACGACATGTATTTAATTTGTCTGCCTATTCGGAATGTTTTAACGTTTCATAATAACACAATTGATGAAGTGAAAACGGAGAAAGTCCGAACAGCCATTTGGTTTTGTGCGCCCAATAAGCAATATCTATGGGCTTGAGTGTAAATGTTAAGTATCAATACTTTCAAGATGTATTAGTTGAGCTTTCATTTCCTTCCCACAAGCGTTTAATCAGCTTTTGGTGTTAGGTTATTATCATTTGGCTGCAAAAATTCGTGTACAATTGCTGAAACCATCTCATTTGTGGTATTTATTAGCCCATCAAAATCCCTTTGATCTGGTTGTGCACACATCTCGGCATAGTATTTAATTTTTGGTTCCGTACCGCTGGTACGCAATGTTATCACCAATCCATTCTCGAATGTGAAAGTAATCATTTGGCTGCTCGCACTAACCGGCAAAATGGCCTTACCATTAGGTTGTGAGGTATCAACGCCTATCAAGGGATTTCACATTATTTGAAACATCAAATGGTTTTGAGGGGCTGATAGATACTTACCGTTAGTTAAATCGCGTATATGCTTAATCTTATACTTTCCGTCAAGTATTGAAAACGGATAAGTTTTTGGTTCGCCTTTGAAATTACGCAAATGTTCGAAAATCTTTTTAATTACTGGTGGTTCATAACAAAAATAGTAAGATGAAATATTATAATGGAATCCATATTCTTTGTATATATTTTCCAATTTTTCATCAAATGTAATCTTCTCTTTCGCTTCTAGGTAGCAGGCCATTGAGGCCAGGTGACACGCTGCGCTTACACCATCCTTGTCCAAGACATTTGTAGAAAACATAAATCCTATTGCCTCTTCGAAAGCAAATAATACGGTCTTGCCATTTTTCATCAATTCATCAGATTCATTACCCATCCATTTAAAACCAGTTAAAGTCTCAATGAAATGAAAACCATGCTTTTGTGCAAATGCTTTCAGTATTTTAGAGCTAACAGTGCTTGCAAGCATGTAGCAGTTGGAGAGACTAGCCTCTGAATTTGATTGCTGATAGAGATGAATTGCCCACCAACCTAGTAATGCACCGATTTCATTGCCACTATAAACCTAAAAATTCAATTACTCTATAAAATTTCGTTTATATTAAGTACTACAAAATAGCTTTATACCTTCCATTTACCGGTGTTTGTATTTTTGGTAGCCAAAGCCAAACGATCAGCGTCTGGATCATTAGCGAGTATGATCGTGCAACTAGTGCTGTCAGCTTTCTTTATCGACAATTCTAGAGCGCTTTTCCCTTCTTCTGGATTTGGAAATACTACAGTTGGAAACTCTGGATCAGCATCCCTTTGTTCTTCTACAGCAATAACTGGTTTCAATTTAATCGCTGCGAAGGTGTCATTTATGAAAGGATAGCCTACGCCGTGCATTGCGCTATAAACTAAACGCAAATTGCTTTGACTGTTTACATCAATTACCGCTTGTGGTACAGTGGCACGTAATTTATAGACATAATCAACAATAGCCTCTTTTGGGTCCATAAGTAATTCATGCTCATACAGATTGGCTGTATCCCAAGTACCTTCCCTTGGTACAAGATTACTAAGTATAGTTTTTTGTATATTCTTGTCGTGTGGAGTAATGATTTGGGCTCCGTTATTCCAGTATACTTTGTAGCCATTATCATCTTTTGGATTATGAGATGCAGTCACCATCACGCCACCTAAACAGTTGAAATGACGTATTGTATATGGTACTAAAGGTGTGGCTACCAGACGCCTATAGAGATAAACTTTAAAGCCGGCGCGTATAAAAATGTTTGCGGATAGCTCGGCAAATCGTTTGCTATTATGACGTCCATCATAGCCAAAAACAATTCCGCCTATTTTGCGGTCGTTATCACTAAATTGTTCCGCCATATAAGTAGATAGACCTTGAGCTGTTTGTGCTATGACAAGATCATTCATGCCATTAAAACCAGCTCTCATTTTACCACGTAGACCCGCAGTACCGAATGCAAGCCGCGTAAGTAACAGCTCATTTAATTTTTTCCAGTCACCAGCCTGGTCAAGAGCCTCAATTTCAGCTCGGGTTTTCCGGCATTGGTCCCATTCTAACCACTGATCAATAGTTTTACGAAGGTCGGAAGATGCCATTGTCAGTTCGCTGGAAATAAAGGAAATGGTTTAATATGCATTTAGGGAATTGAAGTGAAACCCCACACTGATTTTGGCCGCAATGGAAAGAGTCGACCTACTAAGAAAGAATGGAGTAGATTATGAGCTTATACATACATATGTAGGTACACAATATGTGTATATGATTTGCTGTTTCCAACCTTTTAAGACTAGTTCTAATGTTACTATCAGTTTATTATGATTAAAAATCTTTATTTGTATTTACATCAGTACATCATATATTTACAAACTACATTCAGAGATAAAGATTTGGGTAGTGCAGCTAGTAATATAAATTCCTCGTTACCCCACTTAATAAACTCAACATAATCAGTGATTAGCTATATTGCAATTATACCCACTATTAAACGTTGATTGCAAATATATTTATGTGTCAATTACCTTTGCATGTATAAAAGTTTACTTAAGATTTATCTCGAATATGGTAAACAATCCAGAGGAAAACCACAAAAATAAATCCACTGGAAAATTCGCCTGAGAGATCAATAAGTAACTGTCAAAATCAGCAGGCTGCCTAGTAGTGTTACTAACTTATCGATATTTGGTTTCAAAGCCGTGAAATGGCCATGAACAAAAAATACAAGATCACGTAAGAACGCGACGTTGTATTTGTAACTGGTTTTGAGAAAAAAGTTTGCGAAAGCGGGTTCGTCAGCTGAGCGTTTGTTTACATCCAAGTACCACTATTTTACACTTTTGTTCAAGTAAAGAAGAGTTAATTCAACATGACAACACATTTTAAAGCATTTTGTTGCATCATTTTACCTAAATTGTGCGTTTAAAGTGGCGGACAATAATTTTGGTTTTCGTTGTTTTCTTCGCTTTGTTTACTTTTCCCTCGTTTTCCAGTGAAAGAAGATGGCGTAGTACCCGCTAAAAAAAATTGTTGAACGCATGAATAATCATTTTTATTATGCAAATTCTTCTATAAATCAAGTCTTTGTGGTAAATTGTTCTTTACCTTATGTGAACACACGATGTCACAAGCGAAAATGAAGAAAATTGCAGTAAAAAGCCACCACCTTCAAAATCTCCCTACTTTTTTCCTAAATGCGATTATAATGGGCGACTCTTCCTCTCGCCTGATCTTGTATATTTGGTTCATGACCGGTAACAATACTACCACTCCTGCAGGAAATCATACCACCGGACGGATCGAAACAAATCGCGGCGAATTCGTAAGGATCTATTCGTGTTAGATGCTTCCGTTTTACGTAACGTTTATGTGCATTACAACGATTTGCATTCATTACACAATTCAGTAGAAAGTTTGGTGACAGTTCACTTCGTCCCGTTACTTTCATTATAACCCGGGCATTAGAATCGGGAGCGATTTTTGTTTGATTTGGAATTTATACAAGGTGGTTCAATATGCTGATTTCTTCTTCTTTCCTTCGCCTTACATGTTGTTGTTGTTGTAGCAGCATACAAGTTCCCCAAAGGGGTTTTGGGGAGTGTTGCTGGAGTGACAGTCCTTGGCCAGATATAAATCTGGGTCGTTCCGGTTACGTAGACCCGACTGTCGTGGGAACGTCGCCTTACATGTATTTTGTTTTTGCTTTTACTGATTTTGCTGATTTGCATGCCCAGCATAGCAAAAACAAAATGCATATAAACTTTGGGGCGAATTGAGATTTTGACCGTGATAGAAATACATGTGGTTGTTGTTTTTGTATTCTTGCTACCACCTTGTATAAATTCGCCTTGGATTTTTGGTAACCATGTCCTCGATAGCATGGAGATAGATCAATTCATCGATTTTCGTTTTTCTACTGCTGCACTCTTTTCTAGAAATGCCAGCTGCGATATACGTTGCCACATAAAAAAATAACGGCTGCAATCAAGGCGTATCAACTACAGGTGTTAGCGATAGAAGCCATGCTTCTTCTTATGAGCACGCTTGTGTCAAACTTTCGCCTGTTTTGTTAATAGGGCATTCGCACAAGGCGATTTTACAGGTAACAAAAGTTGAATGCGAAGTTGAATGAGAAGTTGAAAGTGAAAAGGTTGCCATCCCTATTCAGACGAGGCGATTTTCCATTCAACACGAATTGTTATTTACATTATTGAAAATTAATTTAAATCGCAAAATTTTATCAATTGGCGTAAATTTGTTAAGGCAAGCGTTGGTAGAAGTGCTTTTAGCGAAGCTGAAAGATAAACTAAAAGTAAAAAAGAAAAAAAGTATGTATACAGAATGTAAACAAACACAGGGTTGCAAGGAAAAAAAGTTGAACGAGCTTTGCTTTCAACTAAAAATTGCCTGAAAAATCGCCTCGTGCGAAAGCCCCATAACATATCCTTGTATACATACATATATACGTAAATATATACCCTGCAAATAAATGCTCGAGAAATCTTTAAGAGTATCAGAAATTTGTTACGATTCTTTTAGGAATCTCTAAAGAAAAGCATATGAAGCGGTTGACAAGAACTAGTAAAGAAATTTCTGTACGATTTCTTAAAGAAAATTCTTAAAAAAATTGTGAAACCTTTCAGAGAACTCTGAATTCTTGGTATGCAGGGTATAAATATACATACGATTATGAATAGATAAAGAAGCTGGTAATGACACAAGGAGTTCATACCAACGGTAAATTTTGTTTTTGTACGATTGCTACAACCTGTAGTTATTGAATCATGACTGGATTTCTTTATTCATTCTGAATGCTTGGAATAAACTTTTTTGTTTACTTATTCTTTAGAACGTTCTTGATGATATGTTAACGTATATTTCAAACGCATTCTGTTTATTTGGTTGTGAAATGTGATTACCTGGAATGGATAAAGAAACGCAGCCAATAAAGAGCGTGTTATCGTGCGGCACAAGGCGAATTTATACAAGGTGGTGTTAAATACATCTTGGTGTAGTCTAGGAATTTCAGTGGCAAAAATACATCGATGTTTTTTTTTGTTTCGATGCATCGAAATGTACATCGATATTTTTCGATGCATCGATGGGCATAGGTTTTTTCAGATAATGTTTGACAACAAAAATAAGTTATTAGCAAAATTGTACAAAATTTGAAATAAATTACTGCAACTGAGCTAAGTATGTTTCTAACCGAACTTTTAGGGGCCGCTTCAATTGTTTGGTCAAAGTCAATTCTGTTTTTTTTTTTTTTGTACAATTGAAAAACTGGAACGACGGTTCAACGAGTTTTCAAAAAACATCGATATTTTCGATGCTTCGATGTTTTTTTCGACGTCCCTAGTGTATTCTATCGGGCTTGGTGAATACCGCTCATTTAACCCGTTTGTGTATTGCCGATGCTTTTTAAACTTGACAGAAGTTCCTAAACAGCTGATTACTTTTTTGTTTTACTTGCGAACTATTTAGTATTCGACAGTATTTTTTGCATTTATTATGGAATAATTATTTGTGCATTGACCGCGGAATACTCGTACTAAGAAAAAATACATCATGAGCTAATTTACAAAAAAATAACTGAATAACAATCACACGTATTGAAAATTAGATTTCTCTAGTCAGCAGCAGGTTCAATCGCGGCCTGCAACACATTTTTTACATATAAGAAAATTGCCAGTAATTACCTATCCAACTAAAAATATGTATTATGCTTGGAGCTATTTGCTCGTGCTTATATGGCTGGCCTATATGCTTTCATCTGGTGTGCTGCTCTTCTCTCGAGGTTTCCTTCTATCACGGGTATCTAAAGCCGACGTCAGCTCGTGTCAACGACTATCTTTAAATGAAAGTGATGTAAGTCGTTATCCTTTTTTATACTTATATTCTTTAAAAAAATATAATCATTTAAAATGTGTAGGAATATTTTCTGAGTGAAGAAATAGTTCAAGAAATCTTCAAAGATGTCAATGCCACTTCCCACTTGTGTTTGCCGCAGAAATCAAAAGTGATTATTTTGGTTATCGATGCGCTGAAACATGAATTCGGTGTTTACAAAGAGAACCTTACAGCTCCACTCCCATTCGAAAATAAGTTGACAATAATGTACGATCTTATGCAAAACTCACCGGACAATGCACGCTTGATGCGTTTTAAAGCAGATCCGCCAACAACTACTCTGCAGCGCCTAAAGGGACTTACCACGGGTAGCTTGCCAACATTTGTGGACATGGGTTCAAATTTTGCATCACCGGAGATTAATGAAGATAACATTATTGATCAATTGGTAAAACATAATTTACCTATCGTCTTTTTGGGCGACAGCACATGGACGGAACTATACCCACGTCGATTTAGGCGCTCCTATTCTTATCCCAGCTTTGATATATTCGATTTAGATACAGTGGACAATAAAATTCAACAACATTTGCCCAAAGAACTTGGCAAGGACGATTGGCAAGTTTTAATTGCACATTTCTTAGGTGTAGATCATTGTGGACATAAACACGGGCCTTTGCATGAGGAAATGGCACGCAAACTCGATGAAATGAATGATGTTATTAAGTATGCATAAAAAAGGGGTCTGGAATAGGATATCAAATAAACATTTTGTTGATGTTACAGATCAATTGTAGCAAAAATGGATGGCGATACAACTTTGCTTGTTATGGGGGATCATGGAATGACGGCATCTGGTGACCATGGGGGAGAAACCGAGGATGAGACAAATGCGCTTTTGTTCGCATATGCTAAAGGTCATAAATTCATCGGTAGTGAATTTGGTTCAGATAACACAACTATGCAACAGGTAAATGTGCGATCAGCAAAATGAAAGATAAATCTATAACTGCGCTTATCTAAGCATGCAGCATTGCGTCAAACTTCTTATCTTTGCAAAGCATACATATTGAGTTGTTGTAGCCTTTACAACAACAACAACAACAGTACATAATATTTTTTAATGTATACAAACATATCTACAAGACATACAAAAACGAGACGCGTATGAGATAATCATTGGCACACACGTCACTGTGTTGTGCCACTTATGTTAATTAAAGCCATTTACCCAACGCTTCAGATACCTCAAATGTATGAATAGCGTGATTAGCAACAAGTGAATAGGTAGCATTTAATTCATAGCTAGAACTCTTCTTACGCGCCTTCATAGTTTTTTGAATTCAATAAAGCGGAATATGTACTCAGATTTTGGCTGCAGCTTCAATAAATCGTCGTTTAACAAACGTTTGTAAAAATTAGGGTATTAAAAGAAAATTAGTTAGGGCCTATCTAAAGCAATTTATAAAGCCCTAATTGGTAATATTGAAAATTTTTTAAAACAAAAACTTTGTACCTTTAAATTTTAAATAATAGAAAAAACTTAATTAAGGTCTCTTGCATTGATAACTTCGTTTCGCAAATTTATGAACATTATATGCAGAGATTCGCGCATACATTTGCTTACTTCCTTATTTTGCAGATCGATCTTGTGCCCACCCTCGCTGCAATACTAGGCGTCCCAATACCCTACTCGAATTTGGGTTTAATCAACTTTAATCTCGTACCTGATATCAAAGTACCCTATATGAGCAGATTCGAAACTCTTTTACTGCACGCCTGGCAGAATGCGCAGCAAATTTACAAGTACTTCTTCAGCTACGCTTTGGAGAATAAGCGTACATTTAGTGTCGATGAGTTGGAGCAAATTCATAACGAATATATCCTATTCACTCATCGCGTAAAAACCGTGTACAATGAAGCTGGTTTCAAGTCATTTGTGAGTGATTTAAATGCCAATATGAGACTTATACTCAACACATGTCGCGAAATTTGGGTAAAGTTCGACGCCGTACAAATGTCTCAAGGACTATTGTTTACGCTGCTGCCTATTTTCTTTTCGTTTTTGCTAATCAATAACTTGAATTCCATAGAATTGTATCATATATTCTCACTTAAAGGCATCACGTACACATACCTAGTAACTATTGCGGCTGGTTTCTTTGGATATCGCTTTTTCAAAAGTTTCTCCTTCCGATCGGAGGAACATGGCGTAATTTTCTTTACCAATATCCTAAGTGCATTTGTCTTAGTCTTCCAAATATTGCAAAATTGGCGCAGAATTGCAGACAACTGGTCATCAGTGAAGCGTTTCGGCAATATGCCAACTCGAATTATATTCCTTATCTCCGTCAGTGTCTTTTTCTCCAACAGCTTCGTTATACAAGAACCGAAAATACTATCATACCTGTTGATTGCATGCATTCTGCTGCTTGCCTATGAAGTTCTGCAAAAGTGCGTGCGTCTCGAGCTCAACAAACGTTTTAGATTGTCGCAATTCTTACGCTCCAGCACAGTTCGGCTGCTCCTGTTTAGTGTGTTAGCTATTATTTTCGTTCGTTATACGTACACGCTGTTTCGTTGTCGCGAGGAACAGGGCAACTGTGCTGACTTCTCCAACAACGCGGGTGGCTTCTCGCTTAAACGACCGGCAAGCAGTAAAACATATATTTTAGCTGTGGTCATCATAGTACTCTATACAACGGTATCCCGCCTCTATTTACGACACAGCGGCAGCCTTACTGGTGGTTCGCCGAATGTGTGGTTGGCACGCTATGGACCGACCATAGCTTCGATTTGCGCCGGTGGGCATTTGCTACTAGCGCATAGTGCGGTTAAAAACGTGAAGCGCACACATATCGACGCCATGGCGCTCGTAATTTACGGACTTATGCTGATACAGATTGTTGTGCTATGCGTATCGCCGCTGCTGACATTCTACGTTTTGCCCAATTTTAGCACACCCATACAAATAAGTCCATGGGACAACGTCATACCACAGATTTTTAAAAAGATCAAGCGTATGTATGATGATGCGGAGGCGCGCGCAAATCAAATGGATGCAATGATCTATGGGCTAACGACCGTCTATTCTTCGGCGACCATTGTGTTTGGGCTGTTCCTAAGCATGGTTTTGATAGTATTGCTCGAACCGCGCGCCTCAATCGGCATGATTTCATGTGTGGCGATTGCGGTTGTCATCATTTTGGTGCATTCTACGTTGCGCTATCGCACGGCGACTAGTTTCGGTAAGTTTATTTCACGTGAATACATGCATATCTTTTGAAAACGAGGACGTTAATATCTTCATTCTTTACTTATTAGAAAACTGTTTACAACCCACGTTCATCGGCATCGTCAGCTGGTTTTTGTTGGCACACTTTTGCTTCTTTGCCACCTCGCATCAAACTACGCTATCGCAAATAGACTGGCGAGCTGCTTTCGTGGGTCGTACAAGTGGTCTTGGAAAGTCGCATTTGATTTCTGGTGTGCTAGTTATACTCAACACCTTCTGTGGACAGGTATTCTTTTTCTGCATGTACAATCTGCTGAGCGTGCTGACATTCTCACTTTGCGCGCTGTATCCAAAACTCATAAAAAGTCCGAATATTTCGGGTGCTGGTGGAACACCTTCTACCGCTTCGCTAGAGGGTATGGGCTACGACATGTTGCGTGGCGAGTTTCTGCTCTTCGAGAATGAAGGCACTTTTCTTGGCAGTTCCTTCAAACTCGCCGTACAGTTTCTAATACTGCAAGGCATTAAGGTAAAGTTATTATATTTTTAAGAAAAAATCAATTTAAGTTCGAAAACAATTTTCATTCTCAGGTGTTCTGTGCGATGCTGGCTTGCACTATTCACTGTCGCCATCTGATGGTATGGAAAATATTCGCACCGCGTTTCATTTACGAAGGCATCGGTACATTTGTTAGTCTAGCTGCTTTAATTGTTGGTTACTTTGTTATATTACGCATTAATCGTGCTTTAGAGCGGTTAATTTTCAAGACGAAAAATATGAAGTTAGATTAAGCATTTTCTTTTTGTGTTTTATCGTCCCTTCTTTATTTGTTGTGTGTTTTAGGCGCATTGCATCAATAATATTTATTTTGAAAAGAACCTTCTAAGATGTGCCTTTTTTATCTTTTTTTTTTTTTGTTGTAATTTAAAGTTACTTCCTAATTCTTTATAAGAAGAATTAATTGGCCAGCAAAAAAGCTTAAAACGCCATCTCCAATTTTAAATTAAATTATAAAATTATAAATCAATTTCAATGTCCTTTAAAAAATTAGTGATAGATTTATATGCTTTGCCATTAGTATTTTGATGAAATTCAATTAATGATGAAGTATTTTTGAGTATTGGGTCATTTTATATCTTAATAAATGAAAGTTGAATTTCAAGCCTGAAAAGAAGACATTACTCATGTATATATTTCAATATTTTGCGACTTATCATGCAAACTGTTTTTTTTTTCTAATAGCGCTTTCTTACTTGAGTCTGTTGTATACTTTTGTTGAATCGACAATATTAGCAGTTTCATTCTCTTGTCGTCATATTAAGTAGCTACATACATGCGTATGAAAGTCGTTCATGGTTGCTGCTGTAGTACCAAAAAAAAAACATTCTTCAATCAGTTTTGTTAGAATGCCATTGGACTTGCGATTCTGGTTGGCGTATAAATTAGAGTTCTTTCAAGAAAATATATCCGAAGATTGAAGAAAACCGTTTCTGTTGGATTGCGTTGCTAACACCCACAACTCTGTTTTAGATCTATAGATTATTATGAATCTACATTTCGTTTAAACTATTTGAGTAATAATCTCGGGGCTAGCATCTGAAAGTTATACATTCATCCAAAAACAATTTGAAGTCTCGAATAATTATATATAAAATAGCTTTATTGAGATGAAAGTAAGTATGTATAATATAAATTGGAACGAATTACTTATCGTTATATAAGGCATACTTTAGACGCGTACATTAAACACTACATAAGATATTAACTTCATTTATTAAATAAATGAAATGAAATGAAATCCTTTAGCCTTCTACCTTAGAAATACACATTCGAATTCGAATCGTTTTCTAATTGTTCTCTAACCTAATAGGGGTCCGCATCTAAAGTGATAAATTGCCATTGTGTTCATTTGCTTTGTATGTGTTCGTAGTAAAAGGGACAATGTGGCAACCTGCCAGGGTGGATTTTTGCTGAAATTTATGCATTTATCCACCAAAAACGTTTGATGAAGTGATAAATTTTGGTTAAATAGATTCCCATACAATTTTTGACATTTCATGTATCAAAATTGGAAATTTATCATTTTATCAAGTTTATCAGCAGTTTATCACTTTTGATGAAGACCCCTAACACATATCTTTGTTGGGTTTCTTTACACAAATTCAAAATACCTCACACCATCACTATATGCATATGAAACTTAATGAATAAAATATAACACGACTAATTTAACATTCGAAGTGATGATTAAAATCATAAAATCTTAGCATTCTAGGCGCATACTTAGAAACATATTTATGTATATGAGCCGTTTATTTTGTAAGTGGCATAAGTCACTTCACAACTCTTGTGCTTAAATTACCTCTGGTTACTTGTGTCTGAATGCGACGGCAATTCGTTCAACTTCATCAACCAAAGGTAGAAGGTGTTGTCGTTAGTTTATGACGATAGAGCGATTTAGAGATGCACTCGGTTACAAGAATACGGTTATTGAAGCACAAGGGTACGATGTGACTTATTGCACTTTCAAAATAAACGGCTCATATATTGCAAGCATTCAATATTTGTATAGAAAATCTTTGCGCGTAATAATACCAACAACGCGATTTTCTTTATCAATCACAATCATATGCCGCAAGCCAAGTGCGCGAAATTTCTTGAATATCTTAGACGCCGAGTCATTCTACAAAAGAAAAATATATGTATTTTGCGACAAACAGTTAATTGCACCCAAAAACTCACTTCGCTAACGCGCACGGGTGAGGGATTCATGAATATCTCCAGATTCACAGTGTAGTTTTGTTTTTCAGGTCGCATACGTACGCTCTAAAAGAAGAATTTATAGTTTTAATTTATAGTTTTAATTCTCTGTGATTTACAGAGAATTTGAATGATAGAAATATAAGATACTAACATCGATGGACGGATAGCGTGGATAAACATTTCTAAATGTTTCTATTGAAATTGCTTTCTCCCAAAATTGCTTCTTTTCCTCATACAACGAATTCAGTAAAATCACAATCAGTTGCGAACGCAAAACTATACCACAGACACGTCCATTTTCGCGATTATTCTAGCGAGAGGTATAAGATCCAATACATTAGAAATTATTACATAGAACCGAAAGCGAATTACTCACGCCCTGTACATCCTCTACAACTGGAAAGCCATTGTGCTTGCAACGTCGCAGTATTTTGTAGATATAATTGGCGCTGTCACATTTTTTAATACAGACTACAGGTGAACTCATTAACTGTGATGCATTAAGCCCCTCATATTTAGGTGGAAGTTCCCATGGCAATACTGGTACACCACTCATTTTAATTTGTATATCGTAGATGCCCTTTATGCTCAAAATTTTAATATTATGTCATACATCAAATAATCCATTGTCTGACTCACCTCTGTAAAGTAATCGCCTACCCACTTTGCACTAATCAAAGTTACAATTAAGGGGAAAAAGAATGATGTTTCGATTCCCGTTGTTTCCATAAGTATGACCGAAAGGCTGATGGTCATGCGCAGCACACCACCCAAGTTTGCGGCCGCGCCGATTAGTGCGTACTTACCGGGGCTTAGAAAGGTCTATAAAAATTATATATAATTTTGTAAACAAATCTATTTTACATTACTAATTTTATATCTACTTACAGCTTCAGGAAAAATGTAGAATATAATCATGGCAACCAAACGACCCCATGCAGCTCCAACTAAACCTGTTGGTATAAATATACCAAGCGACACATTTAGACCGAAAGTAACACAGGAGAGAAAGTAATATACTAGTGTAAACACGGTTAGTGTCAAGATCTTATGGGAGCCTGTAACAAGGAAAGAATTATTCTTGTAATGTAAATCGTCTTCAAATGTAAAATCATAATTTTTTTCAATAATAATGCATTTTAGGTAAATGATTTGTAAACTAGAAAGACAAGTAAATATTTTACCTGGTGGATCGTGAAACAAGGAACGCACCGTCGCCTCTGGTGTTTGGAACCAAAGTGCCGCTACGGCGTTATATTCATTGTCCTCGCAGAATAACTATTGCAACATAAGATAGAAAACTATAATCTGAATACCTCATATAGTTATTAATATGAGTCCCTTACTTGCACTGGATAGTCAGTGGGATCATTTCCTAGTGGCCGACAGTCATTTATGAAAAATATCATAATGCATGCCAACGTCACACCAACCAACGCGACGAGAGCTGCTTCAATGATTCGCGCAACTTTGTATTTAATGAAACGTTTTCGAAATCGATTGATATGTGTATTATACGAGTTCCACGTGGCACCCATAAGGCCACCCGTTACGCCGAATAGCATAAATATAGGCAATTCGAAATATTCAAAAGTTAGCGGTTGTTCGAATTTTCCCAAATTAAAGAGACCAGTAAAAGTGAAATTATTTAATCCGTGGTAGGCGGATAGTACAATGTTTAGGGTGAATGAACTTATAACGGATGCAACCAGCGTACGCCAAATAAGATTTTGATTCCAAAAACTAGCAGCTTCTTCCAGCGAGAATAACATTCCTCCGATTGGCGACCCGAAAGCTGCAGCGACACCAGCCGCCGCGCCGCCCAATACAAAATCACGTTTCTCATGGTCATCCCGAAAATCACGGAAAATGCGAAAGTCCTTAACAAACGTTGTGCTTTTGCCTTGAGAAATACCCGCAGCCACTACTGCTCCTGCGTGTGCCATTGGACCTTCCTAATCGCAATAGAAATTGTTTTCCAATTTTTTTCAACAAATTACAGTATTTAAGACTACATACCTTTCCACCCACTAGACCGCCAACGACGGCTGTTACCACTCCAACCGCTTTTACAGAGAGAGTTTTGATGCGTACAATTCGCGGAATTTTTACGCCGTTCAGATAGCTCTTTACCTGGGGCATGCCGCTACCAGCAGTGATTGGCTCCACATAAGTTACAAGTGCTGCGCCTAAAACCACTGGTATTATACTTATAACCATCCAATAGATGTATGGAATGACAAGATTTCCATCAGGGTTGATGTTTGCAGCAGTATTGTTATCGACGGCTATTAAAATGAACGAAAAGTTATTTATTTCGCAATTTGAATATGTTCATAAAACTTGTGTAAGTATGAATGCATATGTTCGTACAATTTTTGAGAAACGTGTATTTTACAGCCGACAATTCTTCGATGGGTATATCAATTGCACAAGCAATTAGGGCGGTTACAACTCCAATTTTTATAAATATTATCCAACGTAAGATGTCTTTGCGAATGCTGAAGCGCGCATTATCTGTACGCTTTTGAGCCTCTTTGAATAGCACATTATCGCATACATCGTAATCCAAGCTCTGTAAAAAATATTTCAATATCTACTTCAATGCCATTTAAAAATTGGAACCACTAAAAGCACCTCATAGACGTCGTCTCTCAGGGCGGTGGTGTTATTAGTAGCTACTCGAGTACGTGTTGTAGCAGTCGGTTCAGTTGCGCCACCGCCAGTGCTTCGCTCATTATTAGCTACATCATTAGCAGATAGAACATCATCAGCTCCCACTGCTATAGAATCTCGTCCTATTCCATTTCCCTGCGTCTGAGGAACAATTTGCTGTTATGTAGTACATACGTTTAAATAGAATAACTGATAAGCCAAGCCAGCATGACTCATTTAAATAGGCACACATAGTGCAATGCATAATTAAATAAGTAGACAAAATTTAAGGACTTGAAAATTTCGGTATATTCACCATAATAAACTTACCGCCGATGAACTTGGTTCCACATCGCTCATTGTAAGTGCCGGCGGCTCGTCATCATCCTCTATAGTCGTAGCCTTACGCAAAGGAACAAAAGAATTATCAACTTTTATTTTATCACTATCCGATTCCTTTTGTTTTGATAACGTGTTTTCTTCATCACTGGAATCGACACTTATCAGACATTCAGCATCATCTTTCTTTTTCATTGTTATACTTTAAAAATACTGTAAATTTCCAAACTTTAATTTTATGATGCGAAATTCGCAAAAACTTTTTACGAAAATACAAGCGAACAACAGCTGAATAAAAAACTGAGGCCGTGGGAAAATGCAACAAAAAACAAAGCTATAAAATCAACAGGCTCGCGGTCAGGCCTGCCAACTTTGCTCAAATCATGCCATTTTTGACCCTATTTTACTTCCAATGGCTTCTTATTTTTCAATTTGGCACAAGGTGTAAAAATGGCACTTTTGAATACTTTCGCGTGCCTTACTTTTTCATCAACAGAGATTTTCTAGTTTTTAGAGGTTTTATAAGTGGTTTATATTATTTTAGTATAGCAAGTGTTTTAAAAATGCGGTTATTTGACTGATAAATGGGAGGGAAATAATAGTCGATCGAAAAGTATGGCTCAAGTATGTCTTATTTTTCACTTTTTACGGGATTTAACCGTCCTGCACCTTACCATCAGTATATCCCTGCGCCTGTGTGTCAGGCCTGGGTCAATTCCCGTTCTGCATTATCTTGAAGGAAGTGAAGTGAAAAGTCACACGGCGATGTTTGTTGCGTCAACTCGAAGTTTGTAGGAGAGAGCGAGACAAGGAAAGGAGAGGGCCACCGAGTTGCCCGTCCCTGGGCAACACGCTTTGCGCTCGCGTTCGTCTGTGTAAATTGAGTTAGCGGTTCGCAGCTGACAGCAACAATTGCAAACGAAAAAATCGCCGTGTGTAAATGAAATGAGCAACACCAAAAGTGAGTATGAAAAATCGCGTCGACAAAAGCTTCCGTGTATAAAGGCAGACTAAAGCAGAACAAAAATTCACCCTCTGAATCCTTCCATTTGGCTCTTGTTTATCCTCAATATTGCATCTCTTAGCTAAGGATATTGGCAACTCTGCACACGGTTGCAAAAGTGTTAAAGCGCAGTTAGTCAACGACGTAGCGGAAACTTAGGTTGACGTACGTAGCAGCATATCAAATTTACTGTTGATAGAGAGAGAGAGAAGCAACGGCAACGTCACCGCCATGCGGTGGTGAGTTTTCGTTAACACGCGAATCCCATAAGGTAGATCGTGTCTGCGTTACGTCGTTGACTGTTTGAGCTTTTATGGTCTGATTATGCATACTTCGCATAAAATTTTAACTGTAATTTCGTATATACTTTGTATGTATTCCATTACCCAAAAATTAGCAGAACTTTTAAAAACTTAGCGATCTGTTGAGTTTAGATTTTGCTTCACATTTTCCTAAGTTAAATTTCTATTGCACTGGTACAAACGGTTGTGCGAAGTTATGCGAAGTACGCATAATCAGACCTTTAGGGTGGTGTGAAATAGCAAGCTTTGAACCGGATACTACTTTGTTCATTGTTAGTTTTCAACATACAACTTACAGAAAGACCTGGTACACACATTGAGCTTTTGCCGGGTTAAATCTCGCATTTCACTGGAATGGGTTATCACTGGCGATGTTGTTGTTGTGACATCATACAAATTCCCCAAAGAGTTTTTGGCGAGTGTTGCTGGAGTGACAGTCCTTGGCCAGATATAAATCTTTCGCTGGTTAGTTTATTAACGCATTTGGACTCCCTCATATGTATTTATATTATTTAGTTTTTTTTTTTCATTTTGTTGATTTGCGCTCCACTAAATTGCATGGAACCGAAATAAGAGATCAGTTAAGTTTCAGTAAAATATATGTATATGTATTTATTTATTTTAGGCCATTTAAATAGGAATCAAGTTTCGCTTACATTAATGATCATTTCTTGGTCAGTCGCATCTCACATGACGCTTTGTTAAAATTAAATAATATTCAAATAAAAAAACCTTGTAATACAAAGAGCATGTAAATGCACTTTTAGAAATTTTGATCAAATATGTACATTTACACATGTACATATGTTTAATATTACAATAAATTAGTGTATACTCGCAGTAAAGAGGAACTATTTGTTGTTGTTATTAAAGACGTACGCTACTTGGCAGGATTTCCAAGTAGGCATGTAAGTCTACTTTGGTTGCAATTTTTTTTTCTTTTTTTTTTTGTTGACTAGATAGAAGTTTACTCATAACCCTTTAACGGATATCCGCCATTGAAGGCCTCCACAGAGTTGATGTTGCGATTTTCGATTGCACAATATCCGCTGCCACCTCTAATGTAACTGGTATAACTAGAGCATGTAAGAAAATCATTAATGATTAAAAAACAACAGATTTTAAACAATTAACAAATGTCTTCCTTACACATTAGAAAAGTACTCCGAAAATGAAGGTAATACATTTGGAGCAGTGTTGCCAGTATTATCATTCTCTTTGCCTTTTTCGTTGATGCCGTGGTAGCTATCGTTTCCAACATAAGCAAAATCTATGAATGTGTCTGTTGGGGGTCGAGGAGCACAGATGTTTGCTTCCGTTGGGGTAATTTGAACACCGCAATTGAGCGACTCTTCTTCGTATGCAAATTCTTTGTTGCAGTATCCGAACACCTCCGCTTTTACAGCACTTTTCTCTTTGTCCAGATGTGGCGTGTGGTTGTCGTTGTCATTACACTTTGGAGCAGAATCATCAAAGCGCCAGCCTTCGCCATCAAGTACATATCCGAGGCGTTGTAAGTAGTCGGCAACGGTTTTTTCCGATAGACTAATAATTTCCGCAATTTTTCTTGTAGTGAAATGAGGATTTCTTTCAATTAACATTTTCACTTTATCACTATCTGCCACACCTGGACGACCAGTACGTTGTCCATCAACACAACTTGTGTCGCCCTTACGAAATTTTGAAAACCAAATTTGGACAACACGCTCACTAACCGCATCCTCACCATATACTGCGCAAATTTTCCTTTTGGTTTCAGTGGCTGTTTTATTTTTTCGAAAATAGAAAAGCATCAAACACCGTAAATACTCTTTCTTCTTTTCCATATTTTAATAGTTATGAATATGAATAATGTAAATTTCACAAAAGCAATAAAAAATAATTGCAATAAGATAGGAGAATGATTGTGGCTGAGATGAAATACGCCAAACAACTGAATCAAAAAATTAAGATTTCTTTCTTGCTGGCTCGTTTCTCGATATCATTGTAATTAGTAAAAAAGCGAGATTACTTTTTTTCTACCCTTATCTACATAATTCCGTCTGAGTTTATGTTAGGAGTACATGAGCACGTACCTGCTTTTGTGTCTCTTTTTTTTAAATCATAAACAATACCCATGCGGTAAGATTGTATAAAAAGTGACGGTGGAAGGGGTAGGTAGTTAAATAGAATGCCTGGCTGGCTGCCTGACTGGCAGGCTGGGACACAATTATGTATGTAAAAAACACCCTTGCGAGAGATGAGAGCAATTTTTTGTATTTGTGCATGGGGGTTCGTCTTGGGTGAAACTTAGGGAAACAACCCCGAATGAGTTCAATTGATAAGCGGTGGTGACTTACACAGAATCGGCAAGTGTAAAAGAGGATGAAAAAATGCAAAAATCGCGATAATTAATTTCTTTTCAATGCTTTGAATAAAAATTGATGCTTTCACTTTGAATAGGTACATAATACATACACGTACATATATTTGAATGTAGATACATATTCGTAGGTGTATGTGCATACACATGTATATACCTTATAATACACAGGGATTTCTATATTTGCGAGTCACTTCTTACTTAAATATCTTATGAATATTATGAATTAAACGTTGGAATATGTGTTAACGCTCTTGATCCAAATAAAAAGAAATTTCAGTTGCTTTAAACAAATAAGACTAGTAAATCATTCCGAAAAACTGGTAAAGCTGTTACTATTACAACACTTTAATTTAAATGCTGATTAGCATTTTAAAATTTGAGCAAATGTTAGTTACTAAGCCAGCTAAGCAATGTTTTTAAATAATTCGATTCTTAAACATCCCTTAGTACGCATCCAGCAAAGATTTAAGCCAAATATTAAAATGTACGCAAGTTGTTTGCATCTTAAGAAAGGCTCTTTTGCATACAGACACATACATTTCCCATATATAAACATGTGTATGCACATAAACATAAATATAAATAAGTACATATGTAAGTTTTAAAAGATTTAATGCCCACGAATCGAAGTGCATACATTCAAACATACACTTGTATATTTATTACTGCATTACATAAGTGTGTATCTGGTTTTCACTGCCACGAAAATACTTATTTAAACAAGAGTGGTTAATTTTTACTCACGTATGCATTTGTGTTTAAATACTTTCCTATTGTATGTATGTATGTACATATTTACAGTTCTTAAATGTGCTTAGAGCAATTAAAGTATTTTTTTGTTCTTTCAATTTTAACTTAAATCCATAATTCAAAGGTACAAAATAGAGTATAAGGCATAAAGTATAAAGTAAATAAAGTTGGCATGAGCTTAATACTAACTATTTATACTAAAATATTTAACAAAACATTGTTTAAATTAACCCACTATTGAAAAAAGTGCAACTTAACAATTCAATTGAACTGTGAGCAGATAATAAAATATCTAGACCAGCTAGATATCACCGAAAGGGTACTGCTATCAAAGTTTTATAGAGCGGCGGTCAGTATTGAAAATTAAATTCAGGATGTAAAAACTTGAACTTCGCTATTTCTAAATTAAGCCAATTGTTATTAGTTTGATTGTGCGATTGTAATTCACGATATACGTTCTGCAATACATTAGCCACTTCTGAAAGGACTTCATTACATTTTATATTTCCTCCAGATATACTGAAGGTAGACGTACCATGCCCAGAAGTTTGCTTTGCATCAATTGCGGAACCAAATCCTGAAGATTCTGAAAGTCCCGACGGTAATGCATTTACAGAGAGATCAATTGGCTGTATTTCGGCTAGTAAAAGTTCATTCTTAATAAAACCCAAATTATTACAATTGACATTATAGGGCCTGCTATTAGCACCTTGCCTAGCATCATAACTGCTGACATCACTTGAGCATGGAGTTACAGCGCTCACTGTAGTTGCACGGCCGAACAACGACTGATCACTATTGATTGGATGAAGTGCCGCATGATCATCATGTTGAGTTAAAGCGAGTGGAGTTAATTGTGAGAGTGAATGTTGTTTTGTCGAGATGCGATTAACTGTTCGATTGTTATTGTTTTTTTGGGATGCCAGTAATTCATACCCCCGTGCTTGCTCGCCTGCTACCATGGTCACCTAATATATATTTACACATGTATGTATATAATTCTTTAAAGGCAATGCATTTCATAAGTGCTTTACTCACTGGCATTTCATTTACATACGAATTCGTAGTTGTATTAGCTTCTTTTATACCGAGCTCTGAAGCTCTCTCTGTATAGTTGATATTAACAACGGTACCCTCACTGGTACATTCCTTTAGACTATAATTGAGTGGCTGCTCATTATATGTGTCCATTATTGTGATATTATGTGCTCTTTCAAAGGCAGGTGTAGTCAGAAAGTGATCGACCATATTCCACTGAAAGAACGAGAGTGAAAAAGTTACTGTACAGTATGAAATGCGCGAGATGAAACCACCAACAAATATACTAAGTGGAGCAGCTAAGTATGTACATATGTGCATATGTAGCTTCACTAACGAAGCGCTGAGATATTTTAACGGTTTGCTATGCTCTAAGTATTTGCCTCTAGTGCAAATGCATGTATGATTTCAAGTGAACGTAACGGTTTCTTTTTAGTATTTACTATAGGAATACAAATTCTTTTTCTACTTATGTTATACATTGAGCGCTTGAAAAATAAAATGGACCATATTACCTTCATTTTGAATGACTACGTTTTAATGAACATGTTTTCTAAAATGTCTCACCTTATGCATATTATCGGGGCTTTTTTCACTCTTAAGTTGGCTTTGATTTTGATCTTGTTGATGTTGATTTTGCTGCTGCTGTTGTAGTTGGTGTCGTTGAAAGGCCGCTTTGATCTTAAATAGTTCCAAAGACGGTTGCGATGAACATACCAAGCGTTGTCCACTGCGCGATGTGGCCGCTTTCCTGGCAATGTTGTTGGTATTTCGACGCCTTGTAGATTTACGATTTTTAAGAAAGCGATCTCTACGTTCAACCAAAGCGTTTACTTTCATATCATAGATTTTCGCCATTAAATCTGGATGGCGCCGCTAGAGTATAAAAATACATAAAATAAACAGTTAAGAACTGGGTTGAAAATAAATTAAACATTTTGGTTATTGCTTACCTTGATGTGCATGTGAAAATTGCCTGTTGAACGCACGCTACCCCGATACACACGATCTGGGGGACAATTGCAACATTTGACAGTTACATTCTCACCGTCTTGCGTCTGTATTTCAAAGAGCTCCCCATTCAGGATGTATGGAATATGAATATTGCGTGGTGCGGAATCGGCTGTAGGAGTGCTGTTGGAGGAAATTGAAGTATCTGGCAAAATTTGTGGTTTAGTCGAAGATATGCTGCCCAAAAGCGCATTATTTGATATTTCCAAAGCACACTCCTTTGCTACTGACTGAGTTTGTAGATCGTGCGAAAGATCATTTGCTTCCATTTTATCTTAGTGATACCGCGCACTTTTAGTGTGGATACAGTACAAAATACGCGCGTAATAAATGATCCGCACTATATGAAATCTATTTACGGAATGAAGCTTTGACGATGCTCCTTGTTTTGCACCTTGTGACCTTGAGCTACATTTGTATGTTTGTATGTATTACAAAGTATCCGTTGAGAAAATTGCATTTGCTATTCTATTCCAAAATAAGAGCGAGCAGTAATATAAAAACAACAACCAACACTTGTTCTCAGTATTCTACAATCCGGAAGATAACATCAAAATCTTCTCATCAAATAATAAACTTCTTCTCCTATGCTGAATACTATCCTGCAATCTAATTACACCCCCTCAACACTTTTAGATATTTCTTTGAAAAACTGATAAGACCAATAAGATTTCAAAAGAATGATCGTTTGAATGAGAATTGATTAATGTGGCCACACTAACCAATATTTGCACTGAGGAATTTTTTATGAGGAATTTCCAAGTGATTTGCTTTAGGTTTGTGTCTTAGCTGTTCAGCTGTTTATTTACTTTTCTTTTTGACATTTATCTAGGAATGTCAGTGGCATAAATACATAGTTGATTTTCCTCGCATCGAAGCATCGCGACTTACATCGATATTTGTCGATGTATCGGAGGGCGTGCATCGATGCATCGATACGCTGAGAGTTTTCTTCCACTATGGAAATTAAACATTTAGAACATTTCTGTGTATGCAGTTTTACAGCTCATTAAATTTTAATATAACAAAGTACAAGTAGCCAAATAAAAAAATATTAAAAATCAAAAGAATTGAAACTTGCATTTTGCTTTCTTTAAAGGTAATCGCACGAGGCGATTTTGCGTTCAACTTTTGCTTCCAACTCACGCAGGATTGCAGGAAAAAAAAGTTGAGTGGCTAAATGTTGGCTGGCGACCAACTTTGTTGAAAGCGATTAGTTGAAAGGCCGTTCAACCAAAAGTAGAATGAAAAGTTGAACAATGCAATGCATTTTTTTATATTTTTATATTTTTAGCCATTCATTTTTTTTTTCGTACAACCCTGCGGGCGTTGAAAGCAAAAGTTGAACGCAAAATCGCCTCGTGCGAACACCTTTTTTGATTTTCAGACAAAGCAATGTTTGGCCGTTCGATGTACTAGATATGTCAGTTTACAGAAAACATCGATGCATCGACTATGTAAAATTCAAGTGGAAAATTTTCGATACATCGAAGCAAAACATCGATATTTTCGATGCATCGATGTTTTTTCGAAATCCCTACATTTAAAACCCTTTGAGAAAAAACGCGCTTGTGGAAGATCGAATTTCTGCCCGCATAGTAAACAAAACTTCGATTGTTATTAGTTACAAATAACAATGGCTACAACTGATGAGAAAGTAGATGCCAAGCCCAACATACTAATTACAGGTATGAATGAAAGCATAAAACCAACATGCTGGCGGCTTATGGCCAGCACCGTTGAATTGTCCGCACTCTACTAAGTACATAAATATTAATTATGTTTTTAGGAACACCTGGTGCAGGAAAGTCTTACTTATGCGAAAGAATAGCCGAGCAATTAAAACTCAATTGGCTAGATTGCTCCAAAATTGCGAAGGAAAACGATTTTGTTGAGGAGTACGATGATGAATACGAATGTCCTCTACTGGATGAGGACAAGGTATTTAAGTTATTATTTTAATGCTACAATAGAAAGTAAATAATTGAATGTTTTAATTGTCTATAGCTTATGGATTACATGGAACCTTTCATGCAGCAGGGTGGCAATATTGTCGAATACCATGGCTGTGATTTCTTTCCAGAACGTTGGTTCCAAGCTATTTTTGTTATAACTTGCTCGAACACACAGCTTTTTGATCGACTTAAAGAGCGCGGATACAATGAAAAGAAACTTAAATCTAATCTTGAATGTGAAATTTTCGGAACAGTCCTGGAAGAGGCTCGTGAATCTTATAAACCAGAGATTGTTTTTGAATTAAAAGGAGATAGTAAACTGGATGCTGAACAAAGTTTGAAAACTATTAAGAATTGGTACAAAGCATGGAAGCGGAAGTAGTTTGTTTTTGTAGTACACACGCACAATTGATTATACGAATTATTTTTAGGAAAATAATAAACGTTTGTATCAACATACAGTGCCCGACAAAAGTACTGGCACGTGATTTTTTCGGAATTTATGTAAGCAAAGTTTTTTATTGTTATTTATTTTCGAAAACACAAACATAAAACCTTTAAACTTTGTACAAAACTCAGGAAAATTTTATATAACAAATTGAAAGTTTGAGGTTGCTAGAAAACTGCGTTCATTTTTGGCAAGTTTTTTAGTGGAAGATTTTGCTCATTTTCTCCATACAAAAAATAATTGTTCTATAGTTTGTACGAAAGAACGAGCGTGAAAAAAATTGCCAAAAATCAACATGATTTTTTAGCAACTTCAAACTTGCACTTTGTTATACCAACATTTAATGGCTATAAAACTGCATACTTAGAATTTTCTTAAAAATCTGAATAGAAAGTAGCAGATTAGTGTGCAAATGTATTGAATTTTCCTGAGTTTGGCACAAAGTATAGAGATTTAATTTTTATGCTTTTGGGGTAGAATGAACTGAGTTTTTATTAAAAATTATCGAAAATAAATTATAATAAAAAATTTTGCTTATATTGCGAAAAATTCACTGTGCCAATACTTTTGTCCGACACTACATAAAAAAATATGTACCATACTTCCTTTTGATATCAGAAATAAACTTGTGTGATAAATTTACTTTTGTTGCAAAATATTGAAAGAAACTCCAAAAATATTTGTTATATAAACATAAATGTATTTATTAATTTACTATGAACTACGTACTATGCTTTTGCGATAAATTATAAATATATATGTACATTAGACTGCATCACTCCCCATACAAAAAAAATCAACCGGTACTGTGTTTCCATTGGCATTATGAAATCTATTATATGCAGATTTTTTAAGTTTAATCTGTTTTTCATCTGAGGGGATTTTTTTCAAAAAGTTCTTTAAGAAACTATTTTTATTCATAAAAACCTCCGTTTTTGGAGGTATTTTCAAATCGGTCTAGCTCACGTAAATCTTAACATTTTTCCGAAATATTTTGGCGGACATCTTCAAATATAATAAATTTTGTAATCCCGGTGGAAAAGCCGCAACTTCTTTTGGTGATGCAACCATGCAATGGATCTAACCACAATATATAAAACGGGGCGAATCGTTTTGTGCTGATGAAAATTTAATTGGCGTCAATGACGGATGACAACCGAACTTCAGTTGGGTTGCCAGTGGCTGAAATGGTATTACAGATGCCAATGGGCTTTGATCGCTGTTATTTTATTGTTATTTATTATTATTATTATTATATTATCTTCAACTCTATACCACTTAACTATAGTTGCGATTTATAATATATACATTTTCATTTCAGGTTGCGTTGCTATCCATAGTCGGCCCATTAATATCTAACAAAATGAAATTAAAACCATGACTTAACTCCCACTATTCGAAAAATAAAAGCTTTTGACTACGTTCGATGATTTTTAAAAAAATCCTGTTCAATCGATTCACATTCTCGAAGTTATTTCCAAGCTGCAGTCGAAAATTGAGCTAACGAATTTTCCTGCCCTGGATCTGCTAAGGCAAATATTGTTTTTTTCAATACTTTCGAGCATTTATCCAATCCTAGTCATCTTGAACCGCAATGGCCCATCTGGAGCGTACATAAATGTGACTGCATAATCCAAAGGTTTGTGATTGTATTCCAATTTGTAATTTCGAAGAAGCTGTAAAAATGGTGAAATAGAGATGATTTTTAATAAATATACATGCATGCATATGTACGTATGTATGTTCGTACATTTCGATAGTTTGGAGTGAAAAGTTGCTAAGTCCACTTTCTAAAAATTTATATTTTGAAAAATTAAAAATTCTTCGTTTTCTAAAAGCAAGGTTTTATTCCTAACAATTTCTATTCAGTGATACACAGAAAATTTGATAAGTCTATAAGAGATCAACAAGTTTTCATCGGCGTTGTGGAACTTGATTTATTTGGTTGTTTTGCCTTAATTTTTCTAATTTGGTTTTTGGTAGTTTTTTCTCATGATTCAATAATGAAAGGTTTTGTAAGAAAAACTTTCTCTCGCTCTAATTTTATCAATGACACTCCCACCCTACTCCTAAAAACAAAAACAGTGATATTTCTTTTCCAAATATCTTTGCAAGTTTTAAGAACATTTTTAAATTGTTAGTAGTGAAATTTTTACTTTTTAAATTTGAAGAAATGTTTGTTCTTCATTCGCTGGCGCCAACAAGACAAAAAGTGTGAGCATCGTTGGACTACAGAAATTCAATGTAGGCTAAAGAGACGAAATTTTCTTAAATGCCGAAATATATTTGTCGATATTCGTGGAGACCTCTTGATTCTGCCAAGTCGCTGTAAAGTAAAGCATGCAATGGTTTTGGTAAATGAGCCAACGAAGGTATTTAGGTATTGTCCTCCACAACACACTCCTGGTGTCTCCGAATGAGGCTTTGACGCAATATAATATTGCCAAACCGCATCCATAGGCCCAATCGTCACACGACAGCTCGGTTTAGTCAATGGCGCGATGTATGTAATTGCACACTTAAAAGGTTTACGCACGAGGCGAATGTTGGCTGGCGACCAACTTTGTTGAAAGCGATTAGTTGAAAGTAGAATGCAAACGCCTTGTTGTATAGTCTCCCCAGAATATTAAAAGTGCGACATCAAAGAATTCGAATTACCATATTCGAAACAATCGAGCCATATCCGCGAAGGAAACGTAAGCTCCAAATTTTTGTATTTGCCGTTTTTTTTTGTTTAATAAATACTGCATATTTTCCACAAACAAATAGCTTCTTCATATCCATCATCTGTCAAACAAATAGAACAAAAAAAAAAGCTGAAAGTGGACCCTCCATTCTCGAGTTAAATAAGCTTGTTTAAATTAAATAACTAAATCAAATTCGTTTTTGTTTTAAAATACCACCATTCACTATTATCCACACCTTTTTATGGAATTTAGCTCCCATTTTAGGAAGTGTGATTGAATTCTTCCCCTTTTTCCCCTGCTTCCATAAACCATCCCTGTGGGTGGGAGTGCCAAATTTTAGAAAAAAGCTACTTACAAAACCTTTAATAATTGAATCATGGTTTTTTCTCTGGTTTGGCTGTTTTTTTTTTATTAGAAATTATTGAATACTGAATGCCATAAATGAATTTTTCAAATTACTATTTTTAATGTAACATATTTATATGCGCATATAAAAAGTAAATATGTGATGGAAGGCACAAATACTTCAATAATTTTTGATTTCCAAAATAACAGCTATAACTTCTACCAAAATGTAAATTAATCAGCCTTATCATAAGTTTCATTTTCCCCGAACCACTTTTTACTCTTCGTTTCCATAGTTTTACTATGGGCGGATGATAAATTTTCGGGAGAATTTTTTTTTCAGGCAAAACTCAGGATAAGGCAGAATGTTGTTTTTCGACAAAATTTTAATTAAAAAACCCGGCATTAAGCGCAATCAAATTGTTAAATTTTTGTCTTTTGTAATAAGTTGTGCTTTTTGTCATAGATTAGTGGATAACAAATTTGGCCTTTTTTCAATTTGGTTGTTTTTTCTTCAGATTTTGGTTGGTTATTTGTATAACTAGTGGCAATCCTGAGTATAGTATGGAAAGGGCGTATCACACATCGTCGCTGAAATGCAAAAAAGCTTACGTAATTAAAATTATTGTTGCATAAAACCAGGTTGGGACTTATGCGAGATAAACAATCAAAAGTGAATTTTGGATTTTTAGTTAGTTACGGCTTTTTGTATTCGAGTGACAATGTGAGTTACGGCCCTTTCCATACTATACTAGCGATATATTCCAAATATGAACCATATCGGGCCATAAATATGCGTTTTTAAAAATATCTGGATACCTGCGGCACTTAGCGGATTAATTAATCTTTCACATTGAAATGTCATCGAGTTCTGAGCTAAATTTCAAGACTCTAGCTCATCGGGAAGTTGGTTAAAAATTGATTGCAAGATTTGATTACACACAGGCGTATTATAATAAAAGCTTGTAAGAAAGCTGTAGCTCGTGCGAGTATAAACTATTTTATTACCTAAATACTTTTAGCATATTAAAGAAAAAATTGAGAGCTCTAAATTCCTAGTCAGCGTACCTAACTTCAACTCACCTTAGCCAGCAGAATTTGCATCTCTAAGTCTGCGAAACGTCTGCCCAAACACATTCGCGCACCATACCCATAAGGCAGCGATGCGAATGGATGTAAATGGTCACCAGTGCCACCTTGGCTAGCTTTCAACCAACGCTCAGGTTTGAAGGTTGCTGCATCTGAGACAAACTCCTCCATTTGCCCGGTAACCAGTGTGGGGAAAACCGCTTGCACCTGTAATTGAAATTGGAAATACACTGCACTCGGAAATTTTATAAACTACTCACGCCTTTGGGTATCCTGTAGCCGCAGATGACTGTATCCTCCTGCAGCGTGCGACCATTGCCAATTACTGTGCTGTACATGCGGAATACCTCTTTAATAAACGCTTTTAGGTAGTGCATCTGTTCAAGTCGTTGAATGGATAGTTCAGTATCTGCATCAGTCAATACCCGTTTTAGTTCCTCACGCACTTTTTCTTGTTCGGCAGGGCGCGTTGCAAGCTGATAGAGGATGGAACAAACGGCCATTGATATCTAAGTACATACGTAGATAGAGAAAGCAATGTCTCTTAATTACAAAAGAGTTTTTTTAAAGTTTGGTAAATTTTCATTACTGTGTCTATGCCCACTAGAATCAAATCCAAAGCCATGATTGTGGCCACTTTCTCATTTTTCTCCGCAAGAATTACTTTCTCGAGCAAGGATGGTTCGCCGTCGCAACTTGGACCCTGCTGCTTCAAACGATCTGTGGCATTGCCGATGTACTTCATACAAACCCTGTTTTGGATGTTAAAAAAATAAAAGTTAAAAGTTAAAAATAAAAGTTACTTACTCCACGAAAAAGTTCATATTTTTAACATAACGCGCCCATAACGGTGTGGGAAAATAACGCCAATATGGAGCTTTCAGTTCAAGTGTAGCCACATTGCGCAGTGCATATTTCGCTGCGTCGATTATCTGTTGCGGCTCGGACTCTGGCGATAGATTAGGCTCTAAGCAACCGAGTCTTGTATCGAGAGCAACTCTTCCAATGCCTGTAGAATGAAAGAGAAAATAATGCTTTGTTGAACATAGAGGCTATAAAATCACGAGTCCAAAAAACTAAAGGTTTACTAATGAAAGATTTCTTCACTCACACTCCAGCGACCATTTATGGATTTCGTTATCAAAGTCCTCTGGTAATTCTGAATTCTCGTCTAGCAGTTGTTCACAGCGTTTTAGAAAATCATTTGTCACCACTTCCAGGGGCTCCAAATACCGTCTGATCGTTGATAACTGTAGTACCGGCTTTTGTACTCTTGAACGAAATTGACGCCAGGGTTCGCCATGACTGTACAAAAGCAAAAAAGATAAAGATCATCTTTAGTATAATATAAGTAAACTATAGCGCTATCCATTTGATGGTTTCAAACAAAACCACGAACGCAATAAAGAGCCCATTCTAATTTGGTTCAAGTCAAAATCTGTAATGGTAATAAATTTATCTCCGATCTAAAAAATCTTCAGAATCCCCTTCGTAATTCCAGTCTTAATCTCACCACAAAATGGATAACATTTTACTACTTAAAGCTGTGAATATTTACGTACACACCCACTACTCCTCCGATGTCCTCAAAGAAATCTTTGCGTATTTCACTTTTATATTTAACTAAGCTTGGCATGGAAGGGCGAAAAGGCGTTGAACCCTCATTGCGGTAACACTGTGAATAAAAGAAATAAAGTAAATTTTTTTTACATTCATACTATGTAACATAAAATTTCGTATATACCTGTATTTATTAAAATATAAATCGTTAGCTTACACATACATATGACAATCAAATCTGATGAAAATTTGAATATTGTCCAGTCCGCAAAATATGCGAACGTGGTTAAAGTTCGTTATAAAAATCGGATTTTTCTATAATAACTCTTTGAAAGTGTCTTTGAAACCATTTTTAAGGATTATTCTGACGGAGGTCAGGATTGCTTTCATCTTTGTCTGAAAAAGGGTCGGTCATCTGGCAATTGCCATATGTAGGAAGTTAAGTGCCGGGTCCACAAATATTCACAGCTGTCGATGTTGTTTCAAAACCGCCCATCGACCAGCTGCAAAATTTTGAACTTTAACTTATTTTGGACGACATCACATTTAAGGCAGGATATTCAATGTAAGTTGTCACTCAATGTGTTGCTTTTAAGAAGTGCATGCATGCGTACTTTTATTTGCACGACTGAGTTGGGTGGAACAGAGTCCATAAATGCATTGTATGCAATAATTTATGTACCAATGTGCATGTACTTACATATGTACATATGTAAATAGTTATATCAATATCTATACCATATGCTGCATTTACGAAAAATATTTATTACTCTAATGGTTCATAAATGACACAAAAGTAAATATGTATGGTTAGTAGTAAACATTTGAGTAGACACTTGTACACATTTGAAGTCAATATTTAGGCATATGCATTTGCAATAATTCAATCAACGCATTGAAAATGTAGTTACATATTTATGTATGTCTATCCACAAAACAACGATACCTGCCACTCCATCTGAGCGATTAGCTACATGCGAATACATTACAGAAGAAATGAAAATTTTAAAGGAAAAAATACTATCTAAACAAAAAAAAAACCGTACCTAAAATATATTTCTTATTTGTTAATGAGAGAGCAAAAGACATTCAATGATCGGATGATTAACAAATATATAGTCCCTAGGTTAATGCAAAATTAAATTTCTGTGGTATTTATATATTTCCACATAAAAAGAAATGCCGAGGTTTGTGGAGCTACATATAATAGAAATCTTTTTTTT